CCTCTCCACGGATGCACGGCGATAGAGAGAACGAGAGAGAGAGAGAGAGGGTGCGAGAGAGAGAGAGAGAGAGAGAGAGAGAGAGAGAGAGAAGGACAAGAGAAGGGGAGGGAGAAAGAGAGAGAGAGAGAGACAGAGAGGGAGAAAGAAAGAGAGAGAGAGAGAGAGAGAGAGAGAGAGACAGAGAGGGAGAGAAGGGGAGACAGAACGAGCGCGCGTGAGAGAATTCCAATGTTTTATCGATATAATATTTAATGTAAAATTAAGTTTTTCAGGGAAATAATTTGAAAAAATTAACACCGAGTCATGTCTAGCAGCACGCACTACCAAGTACCAACTGTAGAAGCGCGCGTTCTGATTGGTGGAAATCAGATCGAATTAGGTCAAATGTTAGTGAGCCCAGCGATTTTTTGGAATGGCGCGATCCTATACACACTGCCCATAATAATGATGATGCTGCTGCTGATAATGATGATCTATGTAATAGCACAATTACCCTTCAAGCTCTCCTACACTGGCCAGTCGTGTTATCACTCTCCAATCATCTACTCCTGCCAGATAGCTAATAGTAGTAATAGCAGTTATTGCTGAAATAGCTGTGGCTGCGAAGCTAAATTGTCCTGTCGTAATGGCTCGTATGATTGCAAGGCACCAAGGCATTCACGGAGTCCGCCTACAACTTATTCCCGTGATGTCCCCACCGCTGTCAACGTCATCAAAATATCGGCGAATTATTTCGTCTCAGATTCCCTGCTCCCCCCCCCCCGTATCGCCCGTGTTTGCCCGGATCCGGATTTAATTTGGGTATCGGACCGAGTGAGGTGACCACGCCCTTATTAGATATGTTACTATGTCGGCATCAAGCTAGACCTATTTGCACGCAGCCGGCTGAAAGGGGTGATAGGATATGTTTACTAGGCACTTCTAATTTTAACATATATTTTAAATTTAATTAGGGTCAGGGTTAGGGTTAGGGTTAGGGTTAGGGTTAGGGCACCTTTTAGGGTTTTTGCATCATTCTTTAATATATCGTAAAATATATGTTAAAATCAGAAGTGCCTAGTAAACATATCCTATCACCCCTTTCAGCCGGCTGCTATTTGCACGTGTTCTTCACGCGCGTGCGCCAAATTGTCGGCTTTGCCGCACTTCGTTACTGAGCAGCGTGTTTAAAACGCCCGTATCGGAACACTGGCCGCCTGTGACTCACTCCTGGCGGACGGGTTGGATTGATGAACTAGACAGACTAGACAGACTGATAGATAGACTAGAGTGACTGGGTAAGTGAGGCTGAGAGGGTCTATGTCCCCCGAGGTACTGCCGGAACGTACCCTGAGTACGGTCCGGTATACCGGAACGTACCCTGGTACTATCTAATATGCCAGACCGTACCTCGCCTACTCCACTAACAAGTCTAGGGAGTCGCCTACGCCTACTCCCTGACCCGAACCCGAACCCTAACCCTAATCCTAACCATATCAAATAGTGACCAGGGTACGTTCCGGTATACCGGACCGTACCCAGGGTACGTTCCGGCAGTACCCTGGGGGACATAGACCCTATGAGCGTAAGTGAGCGGAGTAGAAGTAGGCCTAAACCCGAAAACTGACCAGTCTCTGGAACCTATCATGTCCGACTGCCCAACTATTGCTGTCCTGCACACAGTATCGCATCAGCTATAGCATAGGTCCTGTTTGCCAGGACATCTCGCTGCTTGCCGTCCTGTTTTTTTCTCTTTACCGGTGATAGTTTCCGATGTATTTGTTTAGACTGACCACGCAAGTCGTTCGGGAGGCTACAAGAGTCAATGCGGCGATCTACGGGAACCGTATGGGAACGGAAAACGTATGGTGGAAGTCTAGCGCGTACTCGTCTTAGTTTACCAGCTTTTATGACATAATGTGCAACTATGTAATGACTCTTTCGCGGGTTGGGGGTTTTCCCCCGGGTGGTGGCGTGAAACTGACAGCGACCATGTATTTTGGCACTGAGAAATGAAGCTGCGAGTGCAAGACCGGGGGTGCAATATGGCCACAGGGGCAACAATGCAGCTGGTTTGGAACTGTGCGTGTGTGCTGGGGTGGGGTGGAGTGTTACGAGCGGGATGGATTAGAGCTATTCATGGTTATGCAATCTTGCATTCAGGGAGCGGTAGCCATGGTGAGGGAGGCTGATGTATGATCGTAGCGCGTGATGGTGGTGGTGGTGATGATAATGATGATGATGATGATGATGATGATGATGATGATGATGATGATAATGATGATGATGATGATGATGATAATGATGATGATGATGATGATGATGATGATGATGATGATGATGATGATGATGATGATGATGATGATGATGATGATGATATTTCATGCTGTTACAACGGACTACTTCAAAGTGTGAGTGTCGGCTTTTTTTATATTTGTTTTTAAAAATCGTATTCTGTACATAAAAGATAATTGCGAGTAGGGATATACATGTGCTCAACTCTTAGCCGATGAGATGATTTCGTTCACCATAAACAGTACAAGCAATTTTCGGACAAAATAAAAAATACATTTACAGTTTTACTCACATTCATGGATAAATATCTGCATTACACACTGACAGTATATTTTGCTGTTCTTTTCGATGTAAACAAATAGATGAACCTTATATGTAGTTTATATACGGATCAATTTTAATGCAGAAACTAATTCAAATTGCTCTATGACCCTCTCCCCCCCCCACTGTGATATGTATTTTAGCCAGTTTAAGACGGTTAAAGAGTTACGAAGAAGCATTTAGTGCTACAGCGGTATTTACGTTTTTAGTATAAAGACACGATTCTCTTTGCAAGTGTACTTCTCCATAATAAAGGCAGCTGACCACCTTAATATGCAGGCCCGTAGCCAGGGGGGTTCGGGGGGTTCGAACGAACCCCCCCCCCCAATATAAAGCTGGCTACGGGCCTGATATGCATGATGTTTTAGGCGAACCATAAGGCACAAGCATGCTTCTATAGGTGCGTGATTCTATAGATTCTGACTCTATATACATTCGCGCTTCTCCCATTACGTTTTCACGTTTTAGCCCAACTTTTTCCCCGCCGCTATTTGTAATGGTGACATCGGATACGTACAGTGCCACCTACGTCGATTGTTTTGCTTAGTAGCGTGGGGTTGATTTATTTCGGGGCAAGGAAGGCATGTGTGCGTGTTACGGAGTAAGATCGCATCAAGAGCTAATAAATATTTAATTAAACAAAATGTTTATCAGCTCTTGATCGCATGTATTCCTTCGGGCGGAATTGTCGCCGCTTTACGTCTTAGCAGCTGTTGTTGGCAGTACGCAAACAGACACGCACACATGCACACGCGCACGCACGCACGCGCACTCACGCACACGCACATGTGCGCATGCACACACACCCGCGCACACGCATATACACGCGCGCGTACGTATACACACACACGCACGCACACACGCACACACGCACGCACGCACGCACG